TGCGCTTGGGCTGTTGATGCTCCAGCCTTTCATCCGCGGCTTGTCGCCAGCTCATCCTGCTGCTCAACGGTGAGGAAGCGGCGAGAGTAACCTCGGAAGTGAATGGAAATCCTCGTTCATTCAGTTATCCGGTGTCAAAGTGTGGAAGATGTCCAACGTGTACTGAGGGCGGGAACTACGAGAGTTTTGCCTTGCTTTTATAACCGAAACCAGACAACAAGATATCTGCCTTGCGTACTCTAAAATGACGGAAGCAATAAGTTTCAACAGGTCGAGTACGTCACCGGGGATGTAGGCGAGACGGTGCACACTGTTTAAACGCTTGCAGTATCCACGAGTGGTACCAGGAAAGCGACGTCAACAGAGAAGGAGCTCGCGATTCAGCATAATACACTGCTACGGGCCCGTGTATCTTCAAAGTTCGGGGTGGTGCCAGTATAAAAAAAAGACGCATCAGCGCCCCACACCAGTGTTCACGAATAACACCGGTCACAAACTCCCAAGCCCCACCGCTCTTCTCGACACCGACACGACATACGACAACAAACTGCATCAAAACGCCCCAAAAGTGAAGGCGTCTGCTCGCGTACTGCAACTGCTGCAACTAGCGGAAGTGAAGTGTTGGGCGGATGTCCGGATGTCCTTCACAAAAATATATAAAAAATGCTTTGCGCAAGGATCATTTTCATTTATAATTGTATACGTAATGACAAAATCCCAATAATTTGTTTTTCTATCTGATTCATGCTAGTCGGACTGCTCATAACACTGATCAAGCAAGAAAATAACAAACATTTGAACTTTTTCATGACCGGTTTAAGATTTATTGTTAACATATCATTATTTATTGCAACGGACTAGCATTATAGATTTTGCCTCCATACTTTTTAAATGCAAACAGTTCTAACACACGGCTGTCCATTGCGCCGTGTTTTGTGTATTCTTCTATAAATCTGTAATGGTCAGTGACCAAGGAGCTCACCCGCACATGTCAAGCTTATATGCGCCGCGGGGAGAAATGGATATCGAGTAGGAAGTGTCGGGCGTTGTGTCGGTTGTTGTGTTTGTGTATATGTCGGTGCCGTGTAGCTGTGTGCTGTCTTGCCTGCGTTGTATGTAGGGTTGCTGTGTGGCCGTGGTCGTTCCCAGTGTTAACAGACTCGTCTTTTTTTAAAAAACAGGCTGCTAGAAATCTCGATAGGTGGCGCAAGTTACCGCCCGATTCTAAATAGTTTGCCCAAGTTATTTATCCATGTGAGTTCGGCATTCGTTTTTTTCTTTTTTTGTCTAGCGGCTCGTTGAAGCTATTGACGCCGCGAGCGCCTATCCAGAGACCTTGCCCGTGCCTAGATCTGGGGACAAGGCCAGCGTAGGGAGAAAAAGCTCGTAGGGAGTCCGTTCGCGTGGTCGTGATGATGATGATAACCATGTCATATAACACCTGAGACTGTATGAAAGAAATTGGAAACGTTTTGATAGAAGGAACAGACACAGAAAGGGACGTCTCAAACTCAGTTAACTGGTTTATTTCTCGACCATCCTATATCATGATAGCTTCACGTATGACTCGCCCATTAGCGCCACCCCGGCCTGGCCCCCTCGCTGTGTTCAACGGTTCTCAGTTTGAAATTTGGATTGTTAGTGGTTGCCCCGTAGCTTTTGTGTATGCTAGCTGTACGCCTTATAATTTCGTACAACCGCCGTCTTTATTTTTCTTGTGCTCGCATAACCGCGTCGCGCGGCTTAATTCAGGTGCAGTGCGCTGCCGTGAACGCGATAACCTAAATTTTAAGAAGTTAGGTCTGTTCGTATTCGTCTTTCCTCGCTATGGCCGAACCCGCGGAACCTGGAGGAAGCGGTGGTGCTTCTTCCAAGACCGACCCAGATAAGTACAAGTGCAGGATTTGTGACAAGTGTTTCAAGAAAATCTACAACTTAAAGAGGCACTTAAAGGAGGTCCACGAGGAATCTGACGCGAGCTGGGTCACACTTCCCTTTGACAGTTACAGCTTTGCATGTGATCTGTGTCCAACAGCTTCTTTTGCGTTCCATGGGGGCTTGCTGCACCACTTTGAAGCGAAACACGGGTTCGTCGCGAGGCATGAGAAGTTAAAAGGTAAGTGGCGCTCGCTTTTCTGGATATGTTGTCGTATTGGAAATTAATCAAAAGTGTATTGGTGGGCCAGTGTGATCATATCGAAAGCATTTCGAAAAAAAGATAAGAACAGAGACGTAACAAGCGTTACTATCGAGTATCGACTGACTGTTTAATGCGTTCTTAGAGATGTACAAGAAGAAAGTCGCTTTGTTAAATTTTTATATTTCCTTTTTTCGTCTAGGAGGTTTGTTACTCTTTCTAGAATCTAGAGCATAAAAATGCAACATTGCCTTTCTTTGAATTTCAAAATGCCCCACTCTTTTCGATAGTAACGCTTGTCCTGCCCCTTTCTCGTCTTTTTTGCGAATTGTTTACGAGATGCTTAAGAGTTGCCGCGCAGTGCGAGTTTATTCTTTAGTTCCCCTTTGAAAAGGGGTTTCAAAATTGAAGCTTGTTGTGTCGTATACAGAGCTCTTTCGTTTTGTGGGTGCATGGTCCTCAAAATGCTCGCACACCGAATGCACTGATCAAATCTATGCGTGCTCAACATGCTCCTGGAAAGGTGGCAATGAGTTCATTGCACGACGTTTCATCGACAACTCAGAGTAACCTTTAGCCCTTCTTTACTCTTTATTTATTTTGCTCTGGAGAGCTGCGGAAAGGCAGCAGCCCGTACCATGGAGGCCCGCGGTGCCGCGTCTAGTGAACAGGAAAATGTGATGAGTATATACATGCATGATGTTGACGACATGGATTGTTGGCATTGGGGAGGATGGCAGTCCGATTCGCAGAAGTCCAGATTTCGTCGAGGTGGGTTGGGCGGGTCAGCAGCGAGCTATGGGGATCTGGCAGTCGTTCGATCGGTGCATAAAGGAGCCCCAGGTACATGATGGCGCTGTTACTCACTGGGGTCCACTGGAGTCGAAGCATCGCGTTCGAAGGAGGTAGCCCAGTCTAAGTAGAAGCTGCCGCCTCTGAGGAATCGAGGCCCAGGGCTCAGATTGAGGCACCGCCGTCGCCCGGTGTGTCATCCCCTCAATGTCGTCGAGAGGATGGCATACCTTTTATTTGTAATAAGCTGCATGAGAATGTCGCCGTGACAGTCTCGTGCAGCGTCTGTCAGGTGGGTTAACATTTTTTGTAATAAGCCGCCGCAGACTGTCGCTGCGAAGCGGCGTAAACACAAACAGGTGGGTGGGTTAATGCGCACCCTAGTGATGCACCCTAGACGAAATGTCCATAAAGCGTGCAATTCGCATAACGAGCATCTATGAAACGATCGTATCGACGAAACGTGTATCCCTGAAAAGTTGTCCACGAAACATAATTCCACAAAGCGAGTTTCGACAAAATTATAAAAAAAACTCTCACGGAGTGGCATGCGCTGCGTAGCCGAAAGCCTATATTTGACGTCATAAATGGTGAATGGGAAACATGGATTTCTTATGTTTGCCAATATTTTTGCACCAAATAATTGTCATATTTGGATTCACGTAAGAATTCACCTCCAACTATATTTTTAAGAACCACTTCAGCTTTCTTTAAGGCATGTTACTTTACTAACATGACTTTCAGATCAGGACATCAACAGGATCGCCTCCTAAAGTACAGCTGTGCTTGGGAATAGCCATGCTTCCACCATACATACCTTATAACGTCCTGGAGAAGGATGTTACCACATGCAGATGATTTAGCACTAAGTCATTTGTGTGGTAACATACTTCCTCGTTACATTACAATATGGTAGGTCGAGAAAGAGTTGAATCAACGTCTGAGCCCTTTCTAAGACAAAATCAAATGTAAATTTTTATTCCTTAAGGTAGCGCTTCTTCTCGTGCACTGGCGCTAAACTTGCGGTTAGTACAAAAGCTTAAGCACAAACCTGGCACACCTAATTGTAGCGGCTTTCGCCGTTGCCGCAGGTATGTATGATGGAAGGACGGCTATCTGAGGTGTGGACCAGAGGGGTCATAGCGTTACCCTTATACTCGAAAGATAGCCCATCTAAAATCAATAACAAATGGGTGAAAATAAGGAGTGGGCCGACTTTCAGTGTGAAGCAATGATGGCTTTACTTGCCAGTCGGTAATGGTTCATTATATCCCCATAGCTAACTAAAAGAAAACAGCAAATAGAGCCAAAAACAGGGGTGGGTTACCTTTCAGGGCTGGGGCATCTCTTGGAATTTTATGGTAAGCATATATCTCATGCCTACAGGGTATGTGGTACCAACACACTAGGGCAGTGGTTCTCAACCATTGATGTTGCGTGGACCCCTTGTGGATCAGCTGAGATAATGGAGGACCCCTTTTGCGTGGTGAGGGGGTGGGGAATGTATAGGTTAAATATAATGACATGATAAATGGATTTGACTAAGGGCTAGTGTGAAGTAGACTCCTCTTATTGACATACACACAAGAAAACCAGCCCGAAAATGGAAAAATTACTTCTCGATCTGAAAAAAGACAACTTTTATTGCCGGGCTTGACTGATGAGGCAGGGCTTTGCGGACCCCTAGAATGTCTTCCCGGACCCCTAAGGGTCCGCGGACCCCCATTTGAGAACCACTGCACTAGGGTTTCTCAGCTGCTCTTGTGACTGCCACTATAATGAGACTTGACTCTTTTCTAGGGGTGTATGAATACTTTAATATCTGAATACAAATCAAATAGTAATCTCTCGGTTAATTCGATTCGTGAATAAAATTCTTGGTGTTTTGTGAACCGAAGATTCATTATGTTTTGTGAAAGATGCGCAGTCGACACAGAGCCATAGAAACTTGCGCTCTGTCCGATGCTGTGTGCACTTGCATTGAACTTATGACTATACAAAACACATTTCGGTTTCTGGTTTTTCTGCCCTCCTATCACTCACATAGCAGGTGCACTTGCAGACACCACACATGTGGGGTCCAGTGGACCTGTCTTTGCAGACTGTGCAGTGTTTTGGAGTGCACCTGCTATGTGGGCATTGGGAGCAGGAAGAAAACCATGGACCGCATGCTACAGCTAAGTCTGATTAGGGTGTATATTTAGTGAAATAAACAGGAAGCATGTTTTGAAGCAGGGAAGTATGTGATGTAACTGATGTACTACTCTTCATTCAGGCCATTTCCTTTTAAGCTTTCTTCTCTGCCTGCCAGAATTCAGTGACTGGAGGGAGGCTGAAGAAGGCAGAGAGCATGCTCACTTCGTTCTCCGCAACGGACCCAAAAAACGACCAGGTAATGTCCTGAAGAGGTATTACTACTGCCACCGCTCTGGATCGTTTCAGAGCACGAGCCAAGGTAAAAGACAACTGAAAACCCAGGGCAGTTGTAAGACTAATGTGGAATGCTTGGCCACAATTCGAGTAACAGAGAAAGATGGCAAGGTGACAGTAGAGTACCAGGCAGAACATTACGGCCACCCGAAGGAACTGAAGCACCAGCGCCTCTCCATGACTGAGAAGGAGGCTTTAGCTGATAAACTAAAGCAAGGCATTCCCGCCCGTAAAGTTCTGGTAGATGCACGTTCTTCCGCTGGCAGTGAGATGGGCAGGCTTCATTTGCTCTCAATGAAAGACATTGGCAACATCTCCGTCAAGCATGAAATTCTGACGAAAGAGCGACGGCACAAGAATCAGTTTAAAAGCGTCTCAATGTGGGTGGAGGAACTGAACAAACAGTCAGATTCCCCAGTGCTGTACTTTGATATGGAGGAAGGAAATGAAAAAGAGACCTTTGAGCTTGCCCTGATGACTGTCCCTCAGAAAGAACTCCTCACAAAGCTGGGCCCCAAGTTCTTGTGCATTGACTCCACTCATAATACAAATGGCCACAATCTGCACCTGACGACTCTCATGACAGTCGCAGAAGATCAATTAGGCATGCCATGTGCATATTTGATCTAAAAAAAACTAGACACCGAGACTATGAAACGCTTCTTTAAAGCCATAAAGGAAAAAATTGGCAACCTCGAATGCGAAGCATTTATCTCTGATGATGCTGCCGCTTATGGTAATGCATGGGAGGAAGTGATGGGCCCTGCCCAACACCGGATGCTTTGCTCCTGGCACGTAAACCGCAACTGGACTCAGAAGTTGCAGTTAGTCCAAGATAAGCAAACCCGTGACCGTCTTCGCGACGAGTTGCGGGCGCTGAGAAATTGCAAAGATGAGGCTAAATTCCAAGAAGGTCTGACAGGCTTTCTCTGTCAGAAACTAAGTGAAGAGGCTGATCCGAAACTAATTCAACAAGTACAGGAGTTTCTTCAGTACTTTGAGCGCTACTATGGTGGCAGAGCACTACAGTGGGCACTCTGCTTCAGAAAGGGCATTCCTTTTAATACTAACAACCACTTGGAGGCAATGCACAAGGACCTGAAGTCACACTACATGCATGGAACCCACAACCAGAGGCTCGACAAGCTGTTGATGATCCTCTTCGAACTGACCCGTGACCGCCTCTACAAGCGTCTCAAGTCGCTCGTAAAAGGAAAAACAAATCGGCATGATGCAGCCCTTTTTCGTAGGCACCAGGAGGGGATCAAAATTCCTGCATCAGATGTAGAACAGCTGCAAAATGGCAATGGCTGGCTTGTAAAGTCCCAGTCCCAGGCAGAGAGAAGCTACCATGTTGAGAAGGGCGATCCCTGCCAGAGTTGCGTGCTTCGCTGCAAGGACTGTGACATCTGTATCGACAGTTACAAGTGCACTTGCAATGACAGCCTGATTTCAGCGTCAATGTGCAAGCACATTCACGCCGTAGCTTACCTGGGGCTTCATGCGACGACCGTGGAGGAGGTTGACACCGAGCCAGATGTAGAAATGCCATCAACTACACGTGAGACAACAGGCTTTACGTTGGATGATGAGCCACAGACTCTCTTGGATGATATTCGGCAGAGTATTGAGGTAGGAATTCAGAAGACTCAACCAAATTCAGGGGACGAGATACGTTTAGCACTGAGTGGACTGAACGAGTCCTTCTCCAGAAAGGAATTGCCAAGCTCTTCAAGCTCCTTGGTGTTGAAATACTTTACCAAGGCCCAAAAATTACTTGACTCTGCTCCAGATAAGACTTCTCCTCCAGATGAGACTTCTTTAAAACCTAGGGTAATCCCGCACAACAAAAGGATGGAGAAACAAGCACGGTACTTTCCCACCAAAAAGAAACGCCCTGGCTCTGGTCCCATGCACGGCAAACCTCCCACCAGATTGGAGTAGCAGCACATCATGGAGGGCCTTGTAGCCAGACAAGTTCCTACAGGGAGAGCAGCATCCGCTCAGCTTCCTGTGGATGTTCCGAGCATGTCTGTGCTGGCCCTCAAGGACCATGACTACTTTGCTTATCAGTAGTCGTGACATTTGGACTACAAAAAAAGGGGCAGTGTTCCTCTTGCTAAAAGGGATGGTGTGTTTGACAGCTTGGATTTCTTTCCACCTTGGAAAATGTCAAGAGATGCTCGAGCTAAAGGCAAGAGGGGCATCTCTTACCATCTTCCAACAGGTTAGGTTCGGTGAGGTATTATACGCTGACCTTAATTGTAACACTCTTTTAACAACCAGGGATTGGCAATTTTATTTCGGTTTAGGCGGAAGGGTTGTCTTTAAATTAAGGGGTAACCATAGCGCCTCGAAATGTTCGTTCGTAAGCGTCCCCCTCGCTGAAACCAGCACTGTTCTTAATTTTAAACATTGCTGCACAAGAACTTGCAGCTTTTTCTGCTTTGGAGAATGTCAAGAAATGCTCGAGCTAAAGGCAAGAGGGGCATCCCTTGCCATTCTCCAACAGTCGGCTTCTGTCATAGGCTGACGTTAATCGTAACAGTGTTTTATTTTCAAATTCTGGAAAGGTTTTCTATTTAATTTAACCTGCTATCATAGTGCCTCGACACACCCATTAATTCAGTGTCCCCCTTGCTGCAACCGGTGATCTTTTATTTTAAATATTGCTGCACAAGAATGTGCAGCTCTTTCCGCCTTGGAGAATGTCAAGAGGTGCTCGAGCTAAAGGCAAGAGGGGCATCCCTTGCCATTCTCCAACAGGTGGCTTATGCTATCAGCTGACCTTAATTGGAAAAGTGTTTTAACAGCAAGAGCTTGCAATTTAATTTCAAATTGATGCTCACAACCATAATACCTTGAATTGCCTGTTACATGGTTATTTTGTATTTTGCATATTATTGCACGGAAATGTAAAAGTTGCAGTTCCCGCGATGTGCCAACTTCTTTTTAGTATGCGACCCCTATGCTTTAGGATATAATGGTTTTCTTGCTAATAAGTGCCTGTAATCACGGTTTCATTTTTTTTTTGTGAGCCAAGAGGGAGTGACCACTGGCGACCACAAGCATGAGGATCTGCCACAGGAAGCATAATCATGTAAGTCATCATTGTGTGCATAGGATAGTTCTTAACACATTAGATGAAATCCAATTGCCTGCATTTTAAAAAGTGGTAACTGAGAGGGGAGTAAAAGTACAGGAAATCTGGTCAATTGCAGACATAACGAAAACCTGAAACACCGGAAGGGAAAAGGACATGAAAAAGAGGACGACACACACAGAACGTCTCGAACACTGCTGAAGGTTTATTCTAAACCCACACCCTTTTACACCGGTACACCGCAGTCAACGCCAAGAACCCTCGCACCAAGTCACACCTCCAGACTGTCAGCAAGGGCAAACATAAGAAGAAATGCCCTCGATGCTTCCACATGTGCCAAAGTCAACAAACTGACAAAAAAGGAGAAACGTTTGTACTTGCTTGTCAATCACTATCATCGAGACACTTACACAATTTTCAGCAGAACCAATACTAAGAGTTTCTTTTACTACGCATTTAAAGTGATCTCTCTCTCGGCTTATCACCGTGGTGGCCAGTCACCGTGGTGGACAATTGTTGCAAACTTGTAAATGTTCTACAGTTTCTGAACTTGGGGACTGCAGGAGAGCACACTTTTTGGTGCTCCATGATTTTCTCATTAACATAACATCCAGTTTGACCTATGTATCAGAACTTATATGCCAAAGGAATATTATAAGCATCACTTTCTTGACATTCACAGGCAAGATTCCTATGCGTTTACCCGCAACCTTTTCTACCTCCTGTGAAAGGAGTCAACCTACTTAATCTGAAGTCTTCAGAAGCACATTATCGTGGCCGCTCTTGTCGTCATCTGAGGCCGCCTTGTCTTCAAGAGCAATGTGAGACTAACTTTGGGAGACAAATTCGAGGTCTTCAGCATCGCTGCTGTCTGAACTGCTGCAAGAAACTGTTCTTTTACATCACCGCCACCAGCATTCCTTATGCATGCCACCATTTTTAAATTACCGTTTTGAGGCTAAACATATTGCAAAGGTGCAAAACACTTTTTTTTTTCTGGACTTCTACCTAGTAATGCAAAACTATCGATAGTAATATCGATAGTCGCCAGAAATCTGACTATCGAAAGTAAAAAAACTATCGATAGTAGACTATCGAAAAACTATCGATAGTACTACCAATAGTCGACTATCGATGGTACTGTCGACGATTTACTATCGATAGTTGTGCGACACTAGTAGTTTGCGTCGCTCCCTCTTTTTATCGCTGTATTTATTTATTTTTTTTTTTTTCAAATGGGACGCCCACTAGCCCAGGCACTTACCATCCCAACTTTCTTTCAGCTTTCAGTGATGCGGAAGACGGGAGTTTGGGCGAGGACAGGAGTAGGGGAGGCGAGCGGTAGGGCGAGGGTAAGACGGGCCGGGGAGGATGAAGCGGACGGAACGCTGGAGAAGAGATGGGGAAATCTCCTTCTCTCTTTAGCGTTCCGTCTGCTTCTCCTCCCTGGCCCGTCTAACCCTGCCCTACCTTCTTGAGTTGTAACGGACTATAGTGATGCAAAACTGTCGATAGCACTATCGATAGTCGCCAGAAATCTGACTATCGGTAATAAAAACTATTGATAGTCGACTATCGGAAAACTATCGTTAATCGTCTATCGGAAAACTATCGATAGTCGACTATCGTAAACCTATCGACGGTACTGTCGACGATTTACTATCAATAGCTTTGCGACACCAGTAGTATGCGTCGCTCCCTCTTCTCTTTTTATTGCTTTATTTATTTATTTTTTTTTTTTTTTTCAAGTGGGACACCAACTAGCTTAGGCACTTACCATCCCAGCTTTCGTTCAGCTTTCAGTGATGAGGAAGACGGGAGTTTGGGGGTTTGGGCGAGGGCAGGAGAAGCGGAGGTGAGCGGTAGAGGGGCCGGGGAGGAGGAAGCAGACGGAACGCTGGAGAAGAGATGGGGAAACCTCCCTCTCTCTTTGGCGTTCCGTCTGCTTTCCCCTCCCCAGCCCATCTTACCCTCGCCCTACCTTCTTGAGTTGTAACGGACTATAGTGGTGAAAAACTATCGATAGTATTGTTAGTCGCCAATATAGTAAAAAAACTATCGATAGTACGATCGATAGTCGACTATTGGAAAACTATCTATCGATAGTCGACTATCAATAGTTCTCAGACACTATCGATAGTTTTGGAAACACTATCGATAGTATCGATAGTCAATTTATCGATAGTTTTGCATGACTACTTCTACCGCCTCCTTGTGTTAAAAATAGAAACCGAAACCAATTTTTCACCGTAACTTGTCTTTGGCACAGAGAGCGGCACAGCATGAGGGTGGACAAGTGTGACTTGTCATTGGCGATATTTGTGCAAACTCTAATGACGAGCACAGCTCGGACCTGGGGGTTAAAGGGTTAAAGTACACCGATGTAATTTAGCACAAAGGTGGAATAAAAATGAGACGTTGCCTGTCCCTTTTTTTCTATCTCCTAATTTTTTTTTTCCTTTTTTGAATACAGTCCCAGGTTTCAACCACCAGCTCGCCTGCACTTTAACCATTTCTTTTCAATAAC